CGTAATTACAGAGATCTCTGAAATGGCTACGTTCGTAATTACAGGAATCTCTGAGATGGCAACGTTCGTAATTACAGGGATCTCTGAGATGGCTACGTTCTTAATTACAGGGATCTCTGAGATGGCTACGTTCGTAATTACAGGGATCTCTGAGATGGCTACGTTCGTAATTACAGGGATCTCTGAGATGGCTACGTTCGTAATTACAGGAATCTCTGAAATGGCTTCGTTCGTAATTACAGGGATCTCTGAGATGACTTCTTTCGCATTAACCGGTTCTGTCTAGAAATCTGTTTCCATTTGAACGTTATTTTACAGTCCAGGTGAAGAGAGGTTTTCCTTGGGAACGGCACTGTTTATATTTATAGCACTGGCGGAGAACAATCAGACCAGACCTTCTGCGAATTAAGTGTTTTTATCGCAGCCTCTCATCTCAAGATGCAACATATCGATTTCTTGGTCTGGTATCCTCACACGCAAAAGCAACGCAAGTCGAGTATAAAGTATACATGTATGTAATTCTCAACATTAAATACAAGAAACACAAACAGGGTCAGGTAGACACAAATGTGAATGAAGACTGATGACATTAAGTATTCCAAAGGTAAAGGGGTTACACAGGTTCTGGCCAGCCATGTCAGTCAATACCTAGTGTGACCGCCATTAGCATTGATCACGGCCCCACATCTCCTGTACATTGAGTGGATCAGACGATTTGTAGAGGCCCTATTGTTGGAGAATGGCCATGGTAGCTCTGGCCACGGTAGATCACAGTTGTTGTATTGTTGGAGTATGACCATGGTAGCTCTGGCCACGGTAGAACACAGTTGTTGTATTGTTGGAGAATGGCCATGGTAGCTCTGGCCACGGTAGAACACAGATGTTGTATTGTTGGAGAATGGCCATGGTAGCTCTGGCCACGGTATAAAACACAGTTGCTGTATTTTGGAGAATGGCCATGGTAGCTCTGGCGACATGGAGAGGAGTGTTATCCTGTTGGAAAATGTGTTGACGACGTTGTTTGAAAAATGGAACAATGTGGGGTCTGATCACTTGGTCGATATAACGCTGAGCAGTGACGCCGTGTCCCCGACCTTGACCAACATTCTGGAAGCACGTGGGTCCAAGTCTCGCACTAAATCCAATCCCGGGCCAGCTGCAGATCATGATGGTAGGTCAACCCCATACATCCTATTCCAAAACGTGTTTCTGTCAGCGAAACGATCACCTCGACGCCGCAACATTCTGACTCTTCTGTCTGCATGGGACACACAAAATCGACTCTCATCAAAGAAGATGACACGTCTCCACTCACGATGACGCCAATTTTGATGACTCTGTGCCCACTGAAGTTGTGCACGACGATACCGTGGTTGAGGAACAAGTCGACGCTCTGGTCGGCGACGTCTGAGATTGTTGGAACGGAGGCGTCGGATCACAGTGTCCCAGCTAAGGCGTCGAGGTGTTCCTATAGTGCCAGTGTCTCGAGCAGTTTGGTTTGCAGACAAAAACATATCTCGCTGGTGTTGGCGGGTAATGTGCCGAACTTGCCGAGGTGACCCTAGGACGACCGCTACGAGGAAGGTCATCTGTGGTCTGTTGCGTTGTATCGAAGATGGTGGCTGTAAATCGTGGTTATGTTTACGTTGAAATGACGCGCAGCATCTGAAACGTCTGATTGCCTGGTTTCTCTCAATTTGAGGTACGCGTGGCATCGTTGAACAATGAGTGATAGGCCCAATGTTTGTGCACACTAATGGTGTTGACAATTCGTGCATGTTCGATTTCACGAGAAATGTGTGCATGCTACCCACATGTTTATTGGTTTGGGTGATTCCTTCTGTTGATGTGTTTTTATCCGGGCCTTCCAAAATGCAACAAAAATGATTGATAACACCATCAGGCTTCACTATATACCATAACTATCTTCAATTAAGGACTCCGTCATCAAGTTGAACATTGTTTACAATTCATCGTCATATAGTTGAACATTGTTTACAAGCTGTCGACATATAGTTGAACACTGTTTACAAGCCACCGTCATATAACTGAACACTGTTTACAAACCGTCGCCTTATAGTTGAACATTGTTTACAAGCCACCGTCATATAGTTGAACACTGTTTACAAGCCGTTGCCTTATAGTTGAACACTGTTTACAAGCCATATTCATATAGTTGAACACTGTTTACACGCCGTTGCCTTATAGTTGAACACTGTTTACAATCCAACGTCATATAGTTGAACTATGTATTCAAACTGCTGTGATATAGCTGAACAGTTTACAATGCAACGTCATGTAGTTGAACACTGTTTACAAGCCGTTGCCATACAGTTGAACACTCTTTACAATCCACCGTCATATAGATGAACACTGTTTACAATCCACCGTCAGATAGTTGAACATTGTTTACAAGCCGTTGCCTTATAGTTGTACACTGTTTACAAGCAACATTCATATAGTTGAACACTGTTTACATGCCGTTGCCTAATAGTTGAACACTGTTTACAATCCAACGTCATAAAGCTGAACTCTGTTTAAAAACTGCAGTGATATAGTTGAACAATGTTTATAATCCAACGTCATAAAGTTGAAAACTGTTTACAAGCCACCGTCATATAGATGAACACTGTTTACAATCCACCGTCATATAGTTCAACACTGTATACAAGCTGTTGCCTGATAGCTGAACACTGTTTACAAGCCACATTCATATAGTTGAACACTCTTTACAAGCCGTTGGCTTATAGTTGAACACTGTTTACAATCGACAGCCATATAGTTGAACACTGTTTACAATCCACCGTCATATAGCTGAACACTGTTTACAAACTGCTGTGATATAGTTGAACACTGTTTACAAACTGCTGTGATATAGTTGAACATTGTTTACAAGTCGTTGTCATATAGTTGAACACTGTTTACAAGTCGCTGTCATATAGTTGAACACTGTTTACAAGTCGTTGTCATATAGTTGAACACTGTTTACAAGTCGTTGTCATATAGTTGAACACTGTTTACAAGTCGCTGTCATATAGTTGAACACTGTTTACAAGTCGTTGTCATATAGTTGAACACTGTTTACAAGTCGCTGTCATATAGTTGAACACTGTTTACAAGTCGTTGTCATATAGTTGAACACTGTTTACAAGTCGTTGTCATATAGTTAAACACTGTTCACAAGTCACTGTCATTTAGTTGAACACTGTTTACAAGTCGCTGTCATATAGTTGAACACTGTTTACAAGTCGCTGTCATATAATTGAACACTGTTTACAAGTCGTTCTCATATAGTTGAACTCTGTTTACAAGTCGCTGTCATATAATTGAACATTGTTTACAAGTCGTTGTCATATAGTTGAACACTGTTTACAAGTCGCTGTCATATAATTGAACACTGTTTACAAGTCGTTGTCATATAGTTGAACACTGTTTACAAGTCGCTGTCATATAATTGAACACTGTTTACAAGTCGTTGTCATACATATATACACATACACTGCGGAGTGAGAGTTAACAAAGTGATGTCCAGTGTATGAGGTGACACACTTGTGAGTATTTAGATGACTGAATGATTACCAACTAGGTATAAAGCGTACTGAAAACCCTCACATACCGGACTGACGTTGTAACCGGTTGAGTGGTTATAGGCTACCAGACATATTCCAGCACTGTCATGGTGGGATACCGGAGATGGGCTTCACGCACAGCACTGATGTGTGACGAACGAACGTTGTAACCAATGGCTACACCTCACTCCACGAGTGAGTAGACTGCCACTACAACACATCATCGAACCCAGAAACACAATGTAAATGTTAAACCAAACAATTAAAAGCCGTTATAGAAACCTTCGAGTGATGGCAGGTATATAGGACCTACCCATCCGTCTCATCCCAACCACGGGTTTGATGAGTGTGAGAACCTAAGTGCACAATAAATATGATTTAAATATGAACTAGATGTGATAGATTATGTTTACTATAAAGCTTTGATGGGTTCTGTTGCGTTGTGAAGGTTCGTTGCCAACAACTGAAGTCATAACGCTAATGGAAGGGCATATTGCCAACACTGTGAAGGACTCCTGTGAAATTGATTCTGTCAAAGCCTAACTGAAACCCATTTAATGAAAACGTGCATTTCAACGGTCAAATTGATTTGGAAGAGTATCAGGACTTAAGCCAAATCGATCATAGACAATGAACATTCGTGATCGAGACGGCCACAATCATCAGCCAAAAGCTTTCACTTGGCCGGCGAGAGAAACCGACCACAGCGCCTTTGCTGCAAACAGAATCAGAATTTTATAGTCCCAACTGTCGATATCAGCTACTCTGAATGACTCGACATCAAACAGCCACTACAGACATCAAGGGGGCCATTGGGAAGTTAGTGTTTTTGAAAATATACAAATTTTAAATGGATGTCAAAATATTGTCTTCACATGTTTCAGTCCACTCCCAGAGCCATCGATGACGGAAACCTTTATTGAAACTGCAGAAGAACTGACCTTTGCTGTTGCTGCTATCGTCACTGAAGACGTCATCTGATCAAACACAGCCAATATGAAATGATGTAATTATTCAAACAATCTGAACATGCTGTTTCGACACTATACATAGATGAATAAAATATTGAAACAATTTTATTGTTGATAATAATAATATTTCTTTGCTGGGGTGAAAGTATTTGGGACGAAATGACCCGTTACCCTACAAAAGCATAGACTGTATGTTTCTGCAAGACTATATTTGGATGCAAGAGCATGCCTTATCACCTCACATTACAAGACCAGTAGACATCGTGTTTCATCTGATACTGCCATCGACACTCTATTGTCTACTGCCATTGTAATAACTGAACTTATTTGTATTGATTTGTAAACGAAGTTGATTTATAATACAGATGGTAATTGTGTATGATTACTTTGATCGTTGTTCTCTCGCGCTGTATTTGTGCTGAATACAATTCTGATGTTGTTTTGATGCTGAAATCAACAATCATGTAACGAGGAGAGACAGTAGGGTGAAGTTCATAACCAGAATGGCGTCAGCCGTGCATACACAGAATACGACACTGTCCAGTTTATCCGCCAGTTGAAGAAAGTCGGTGAACTCCTCCGGGTCACGTTCCGATCCACCATCACCAGCGCCTGTCGTAGTGGCTGGCTGTACAGCCTTCTTCCTTCCTGTCTTCAGGAGGACAAGTGCCAGGATCCGCGTCAGTCTGTTGTGCTTGTATCTCTGACTTAGCCGTTGTGAAACAATGCAGTACGCCACGATCCCTGAACTGAACAGGAACTGCATGTAGACGAGGACTGTGAAGACTGGAATGCCCCGGGACGACTGTGGTAGCAGATCAGCGAGGAGGGTGATGAAGATCGTGAAGGACAGGAAGAGGGTGACAGCGGTTGACGTCTTCTCCCCGCTATTGGACCTGACCAGGATCACACAAGGATTGACGACAGCAACAATAAACAGGGGCAGTATCAGACAGAAGATATAGTAACCTCCATGACGTCGCAGGGTCAGCGATACAGTCACTCCACTCTTGGGTCTGTGTTCGCCAAGGGTTACTCTCTTGGCGGAGGACGTTGTCAACATCCACTCACCTGTCTTGATGGCTTTCTCGTCGGTGAAGGTCACGTCACTGATGTTGACGTCAACTTCTCCATGATAGGCGGTGGTTAGAGTGACCGAACACGTGTGTTTATCAAACGGGAACCTTGTGAGTGAAACCGGACATGGTGTTCTTGTCTCCAGATCAATAAACCACTGGACCTTGCCATCAGGATAAACCTGCAAAATAGCTGTGTTTAAAAATGTCCTTGTTAAATTTTATCGAAAGAAAAGACTGGAGTATCCTATGATTACTTGTATCTTCATTCTTTCATTGATCCACAAATGAGAGTAGGTGTGTGGATGAGAGTTTGGAAGTGTGTGTGTGTGTGTGTGTGTGTGTGTGTGTGTGTGTGTGTGTGTGTGTGTGTGTGTGTGTGTGTGTGTGTGTGTGTGTGTGTGTGTGTGTGTGTGTGTCAGAGTACAATATCACACTAAAACCTGAATGCGACGTGTGTCCAGGGCGAGGCAACACTTCAACCATTAGGCTTTGCGAACTCCCCTTACAGAGCCTATAATGGGCAACCTACCTGTAGAGTGTTGTCAGCGTCGCCGAGGATGTCCTCGCTCCTGTGGGCGTTGAGGACGTGAACATCTGAAACCCATAATTTACGTCTGGGAAAGTTAATCGCTCTTACATCTGTGTACTGATCGGCATTCCACGTCAACCTCTCGTCCGTCCACGTGACCACGAGCTCCAGCCACGTGACCAAACTTTCACTGGTCAAGTCGAGGGTGACGATATTGAATACTGCAATGTCCATGTTGACCAACACTGTCCGTGATGAGTCGTTGACGGGGCGGAGGTTTGGTCGGTAGTAGGTGAGGAGACTGTCGTGGAGGCGTTGCAAGTCTGTGTAGTTAGCCCCGTCACAGACACTGATGGCGTAAAGAAGCCCTAGCAATGGGACCGTCGCACAATACACTTGAAATGTTTGGTCACAACGGGTATGTAGTGATCTACTGGACCGTCTTCAGTGTCTGTTACCCGAGGCTGCTTCTGCTGCTGTACAGGTAGAACGTCCACTGTCACCAGACCAATCTGCTGCTGTACAGGTAGAACGTCCACTGTCACCAGACCAATCTGCTGCTGTACAGGTAGAACGTCCACTGTTACCAGACCAATCTGCTGCTGTACAAGTAGAACATCCACTGTTACCAGACCAATCTGCTGCTGTACAAGTAGAACATCCACTGTTACCAGACCAATCTGCTGCTGTACAGGTAGAACATCCACTGTCACCAGACCAATCTGCTGCTGTACAGGTAGAACATCCACTGTTACCAGACCAATCTGCTGCTGTACAAGTAGAACATCCACTGTCACCAGACCAATCTGCTGCTGTACAGGTAGAACATCCACTGTTACCAGACCAATCTGCTGCTGTACAGGTAGAACGTCCACTGTTACCAGACCAATCTGCTGCTGTACAGGTAGAACATCCACTGTCACCAGACCAATCTGCTGCTGTACAGGTAGAACATCCACTGTTACCAGACCAATCTGCTGCTGTACAAGTAGAACATCCACTGTTACCAGACCAATCTGCTGCTGTACAGGTAGAACGTCCACTGTTACCAGACCAATCTGCTGCTGTACAAGTAGAACATCCACTGTTACCAGACCAATCTGCTGCTGTACAGGTAGAACGTCCACTGTTACCAGACCAATCTGCTGCTGTACAAGTAGAACATCCACTGTTACCAGACCAATCTGCTGCTGTACAAGTAGAACATCCACTGTTACCAGACCAATCTGCTGCTGTACAGGTAGAACATCCACTGTCACCAGACCAATCTGCTGCTGTACAGGTAGAACGTCCACTGTCACCAGACCAATCTGCTGCTGTACAGGTAGAACGTCCACTGTCACCAGACCAATCTGCTGCTGTACAGGTAGAACGTCCACTGTTACCAGACCAATCTGCTGCTGTACAAGTAGAACATCCACTGTTACCAGACCAATCTGCTGCTGTACAGGTAGAACGTCCACTGTTACCAGACCAATCTGCTGCTGTACAAGTAGAACATCCACTGTTACCAGACCAATCTGCTGCTGTACAGGTAGAACATCCACCGTTACCAGACCAATCTGCTGCTGTACAGGTAGAACATCCACTGTTACAAGACCAATCTGCTGCTGTACAGGTAGAACGTCCACTGTCACCAGACCAATCTGCTGCTGTACAGGTAGAACGTCCACTGTCACCAGACCAATCTGCTGCTGTACAGGTAGAACATCCACTGTTACCAGACCAATCTGCTGCTGTACAGGTAGCACGTCCACTGTTACCAGACCAATCTGCTGCTGTACAAGTAGAACATCCACTGTCACCAGACCAATCTGCTGCTGTACAGGTAGAACATCCACTGTTACCAGACCAATCTGCTGCTGTACAGGTAGCACGTCCACTGTCACCAGACCAATCTGCTGCTGTACAGGTAGAACATCCACTGTCACCAGACCAATCTGCTGCTGTACAGGTAGCACGTCCACTGTTACCAGACCAATCTGCTGCTGTACAAGTAGAACATCCACTGTCACCAGACCAATCTGCTGCTGTACAGGTAGAACGTCCACTGTTACCAGACCAATCTGCTGCTGTACAGGTAGAACATCCACTGTTACCAGACCAATCTGCTGCTGTACAGGTAGAACATCCACTGTTACCAGACCAATCTGCTGCTGTACAGGTAGAACATCCACTGTCACCAGACCAATCTGCTGCTGTACAGGTAGAACATCCACTGTTACCAGACCAATCTGCTGCTGTACAGGTAGAACATCCACTGTCACCAGACCAATCTGCTGCTGTACAGGTAGCACGTCCACTGTTACCAGACCAATCTGCTGCTGTACAGGTAGAACATCCACTGTTACCAGACCAATCTGCTGCTGTACAGGTAGAACGTCCACTGTCACCAGACCAATCTGCTGCTGTACAGGTAGAACATCCACTGTTACCAGACCAATCTGCTGCTGTACAAGTAGAACATCCACTGTCACCAGACCAATCTGCTGCTGTACAGGTAGAACGTCCACTGTTACCAGACCAATCTGCTGCTGTACAGGTAGAACATCCACTGTTACCAGACCAATCTGCTGCTGTACAGGTAGAACGTCCACTGTCACCAGACCAATCTGCTGCTGTACAGGTAGAACGTCCACTGTTACCAGACCAATCTGCTGCTGTACAGGTAGAACATCCACTGTTACCAGACCAATCTGCTGCTGTACAGGTAGAACATCCACTGTTACCAGACCAATCTGCTGCTGTACAGGTAGCACGTCCACTGTTACCAGACCAATCTGCTGCTGTACAGGTAGAACGTCCACTGTCACCAGACCAATCTGCTGCTGTACAGGTAGAACATCCACTGTTACCAGACCAATCTGCTGCTGTACAGGTAGCACGTCCACTGTTACCAGACCAATCTGCTGCTGTACAGGTAGAACATCCACTGTCACCAGACCAATCTGCTGCTGTACAGGTAGCACGTCCACTGTTACCAGACCAATCTGCTGCTGTACAGGTAGAACATCCACTGTCACCAGACCAATCTGCTGCTGTACAGGTAGCACGTCCACTGTCACCAGACCAATCTGCTGCTGTACAGGTAGAACATCCACTGTCACCAGACCAATCTGCTGCTGTACAGGTAGAACATCCACTGTCACCAGACCAATCTGCTGCTGTACAGGTAGAACGTCCACTGTCACCAGACCAATCTGCTGCTGTACAGGTAGAACATCCACTGTCACCAGACCAATCTGCTGCTGTACAGGTAGCACGTCCACTGTTACCAGACCAATCTGCTGCTGTACAGGTAGAACATCCACTGTCACCAGACCAATCTGCTGCTGTACAGGTAGAACATCCACTGTCACCAGACCAATCTGCTGCTGTACAGGTAGAACATCCACTGTTACCAGACCAATCTGCTGCTGTACAGGTAGAACGTCCACTGTCACCAGACCAATCTGCTGCTGTACAGGTAGAACATCCACCGTTACCAGACCAATCTGCTGCTGTACAGGTAGCACGTCCACTGTTACCAAACCAATCTGCTGCTGTACAGGTAGAACATCCACTGTCACCAGACCAATCTGCTGCTGTACAGGTAGCACGTCCACTGTTACCAGACCAATCTGCTGCTGTACAGGTAGAACGTCCACTGTTACCAGACCAATCTGCTGCTGTACAAGTAGAACATCCACTGTCACCAGACCAATCTGCTGAACAGTTTGATTCCGTCAACTCAGTCGGACAAATGCCTATAACCTAAACACTGCATTAGAATTTAATAGCACGGTCTAATAGTGTTGACAATCATCTTGTGTTTCCTATTCAAGCACAGTATTAATGGTAGGAATTATTTCAGACGTAGTGTTCGTCTAACAGTATTGACAGACGTTTTAACACACCTGCTTGTAATGCAAACATGTCAATTTCAGCATGACAGAATGTAAGTGCTGTGTTCGTGTAAGTCAGGATGAATTAAAACACGGAAGGAATCTATATCTGTGTTTGTGATGGGTTGGTAGGATCATGGTATACATTGTGTGCCTAGTTAAATGAGTGGGTACAGTTGAAGTTCTGTATCGTGTCCCATCAGCGACACATGGATGACCAGCGAAGTCAGAATGTTCAACCCCATCTGAGAGGAAGATCAACATCTTTGTCATTTAAATCTGTGTTCCACAGGAGATATTGCTTGTGTGAGATCATATGATATCTTCTAGGAGATATCGTTGGTGAGATTCTATATGTACTTCACATGCGCGCCTTGGGCAAAATATGAATAGTTTGTAATTCCCGAAATACTGTAGGAATGTACATAGTGATGCTCACCACCAATAACACACACACTGGCTGAGTGAGTTTAGTTTTACGCCGCATTTAGCAATTATTCAGCAATATTACAGTGTGTGTGTGTGTGTGATACCAGAAATGGGTTTCACACATCGTACCCTTGTGGGGAATTGAACCCAGGTCATCGGCGTGACGAGCGAACGCTTTAACCACTAGGCTACCCCGCCGGCACACTTACCCTGGACCAACATTGGCATCATCGTGGAGAGTCTTGTCGTCGTTAGGTCAACAGCCATCACTGGGTAGGGCAGAGGATACGTCGTTGGCACACTTACCCTGGACCAACGTTGGCATCATCGTGGAGAGTTGTGTCGTCGTTAGATCAACAGCCATCACTGGGTAGGGCAGAGGGAACGTCGTTGGCACACTTACCCTGGACCAACATTGGCATCATCGTGGAGAGTCTTGTCGTCGTTAGATCAACAGCCATCACTGGGTAGGGCAGAGGGAACGTCGTTGGCACACTTACCCTGGACCAACATTGGCATCATCATGGAGAATCTTGTCGTCGTTAGATCAACAGCCATCACTGGGTAGGGCAGAGGGAACGTCGTTGGCACACTTACCCTGGACCAACGTTGGCATCATCGTGGAGAGTTGTGTCGTCGTTAGATCAACAGCCATCACTGGGTAGGGCAGAGGGAACGTCGTTGTAAGCTGGATGGTAGACGGTTGTAGTCTGGGGACTAGGCTTTGTTACCTCTAGGCTTGACCGTTGTAGTTTAGAGGGTAGATTGTGTCAAGGGTGGAGGGGTATCAATAGCGTCAATATCGATCAGTCAAAGATGGCGGGGTATCAATAGCGTCCATATCGATCAGTCAAGGAAGGCGGGGTATCATGGGCGTCAATACCAATCAGTCAATGGAGGTGATGGGTATCAATAGCGACAATATGGGTCAGTCAAGGATGGTGGGGTATCAATAGCAGCAATCTCGATCAGTCAAGGAAGGCGGGGTATCATTAGCAGCAATATCAATCAGTCTAGGATGGTTGGGTATCAATAGCGTCAATATCGATCAGTCTAGGATGGCGGGGTATCATTAGCAGCAATATCAATCAGTCAATGGTGATGGTGGGTATCAATATCGTCAATATCGATCAGTCAAGGATGGCGGGTATCAATATCGTCAATATCGATCAGTCTAGGATGGCGGAGTATCATTAGCAGCAATATCAATCAGTCAATGGTGGCGGGGAATCAATATCGTCAATATCGATCAGTCAAGGATGGCGGGGTATCATTAGCGTCAATATCGATCAGTCAATGGTGGTGGTGGGTATCAATAGCGCCAATATCAATCAGTCAAGGATGGTGGGGTATCATTAGCGCCAATATCAATCAGTCAATGGTGGTGGTGGGTATCAATAGCGTCAATATCGATCAGTCAGTGGTGGTGGTGGGTATCAATAGCGTCAATATCGATCGGTCAAGGATGATGGGGTATCATGAGCGACAATAACAATCAGTAAATGGTGGCGGGGTATCAATAGCGTCAATATCGATCAGTCTAGGATGGCGCGGTATCAATAGCGCCAATATCGATCAGTCAAGGATGACGGGGTATCATTAGCGCCAATATCAATCAGTCAAGAATGGCGGTGTATCAATATCGTCAATATCGATCAGTCTAGGGTGGCAGGGTATCAATAGCGTCAATATCGATCAGTCAAGGATGGCGGGGTATCAATAACGTCAATATCGATCAGTCAAGGAAGGCGCGGTATCAATAGCGCCAATATCGATCAGTCAAGGATGACGGGGTATCAATAGCGTCAATATCGATCAGTCTAGGATGGCGCGGTATCAATAGCGCCAATATCGATCAGTCAAGGATGACGGGGTATCATTAGCGCCAATATCAATCAGTCAAGGATGGCGGGGTATCATTAGCGCCAATATCAATCAGTCAATGGAGGTGGTGGGGTATCAATAGCGTCAATATCGATCAGTCAAGGATGGCGGGGTAACATTAGCGCCAATATCAATCAGTCAATGGAGTTGGTGGGGTATCAATAGCGTCAATATCGATCAGTCAAGGATGGCGGGGTAACATTAGCGTCAGTATCAATCAGTCAATGGAGGTGGTGGGGTATCAAATAGCGTCAATATCGATCATTCAAGGATGGCGGGGTATCAGCAGCAGCAATATCGATCTGTCAAGGATGGCGGGGTATCATCAGCAGCAATATCAATCAGTCAATGGTGGTGGTGGGTATCAATAGCGTCAATATCGATCAGTCAAGGATGTCGGTGTGTCATAAGCAGCAATATCGATCAGTAATTGAACACCTGACTCACTGAATTCCTCGATTATTGAACTCTTCAATCACTTATCTCCTCTATCACTAATCTCCTCAATCACTAAACACCTCATTCACTGATCTCCTCAATGACTTATCTCCTCTATCACTAATCTCCTCAATCACTGAACTCCTCAATCACCAATCTCCTCAATCACTAAACTCCTCGCTCACGAATCTCCTCAATGACTGAACTCCTCAATGACTGATCTCCTCAATCAGTTATCTCCTCAGTCACTAATCTCCTCACCCACTAACTTCCTCAATCACTGATCTCCTCAAACACTTATGTCCTCAATCACTAATCCCCTCAATGACTGATCTCCTCAATGACTGATCTCCCCAATGACTGATCTCCGCAATCACTAATCTCCTCAATGACTGATTTCCTCAATCACTAATCTCCTCAATCACTGATCTCCTCAATCACTAAACTCCTCGCTCACTAAACTCCCGGCTTGTAGATTACGGAAAGGCACGAGTTTCACCGAGTGTTGGAATATCTGCACATGCTACTATGTTTAGATCTATACACACACGCATTACTTCCATGAGCCTTGTGTTGCTGTATGGTGTCAGGGCTCACTGCCTTCAGTGTCAGTGTCGTTGTCGTCTCTGTATACCCCGCCTGTATGCATGAGGAGTCGCGACCGGCTTGTAGATTACGGAAAGGCACGAGTTTCACCGAGTGTACTTGAAGCGAAACAAGGAAGTAACAGTTCAGGGTAGTGTGTACAGCTGTCCACTGTGTAAATTCGTCTACCACACGTCTAACACCCGTCTAACACCGTCTATCACCGTCTAACGTTCAGTATTCGGCAGTCTGTTGCTGTTGTGTGGCAAGGTAAACTCTGTGTAGTGTTTTACTGAGTTTGTCTTGTGCACAGGCCCTGTATTAGTGAGGCGTCCTTGTAACCCACCCGGATATCAGAGGAGAAAACTGACACGGGTAAGTGAGCTTCTCTGTCTGTGCTAGATTATAATATTTCAGCACGGTGTATTTTCCATTACAGCACACACGTCACTTACAAATAGATTATGGTATGATTTCTTTACTAGCTAACTATCAGTGATGGCGGTCTTCACACAACATTGTACAGCAAAATGGTTAGCCAATAAATTTTGAACAATATATTTTAGGCCACTCACAGAATAAATACGCCAACTATTTATTACATTATATATTGAACTTTTTACATTTTATCTGCTTTCCCATACTTTTGTTAAGTTAATTAGTTTTAAAAGGACTTTTCAAAAAAATACCACGCAGCATCTAAGTTATTTTATATAACTTAATTTTCCAATAAAATAGTTTCCTCGCAGCTACATTTCTTAAATATTTCTTCTGTCTCTTTCTCAAGATGACGATGATTTTCATGGTGTTCAGTTTGCACATGACTAATCAGTTTCTAAATGACATAGATTTCTATCCAACTGGTGTACTCATTTTCAGAATATCACGCTCTGAATGCAGTCTTGAAGTAAAACTAAAACTTTATATACAATTGTAGTTTAGATGGGTAAAAATCAAACCGTAGAGTTTATTTCTCATAACGTTCAAAATATATTTGGACGGAAAAGCTAGCATTACATATTTCGCTATCATTTAGATATTTGTTGTTAAACAGAACATCTGATTTCAGGTTAAACTCTCCAAGTCGGGTCAGAACTGAACTATGCTTCTTAACAAACTGATTTCAATAGTTTCACGTTGCACCCTCCATTGATATTTTGAAAAGAAAATATCTTTATTCAACAAAGTAGGTTGCACGGTCTGGCGAGCACAGGCTTTATGAAATCCGGGTGCATTATGCGTTGTATACAATTCTGGGTGAGAAGACTACATCGTCAATGCGCGCATCATATCAACCGTGCTTTGGTTTTCGTTTAATGAAAGGTTTCCTAAAAGAGAGCCTTGGAACAACCACTGGTTGATTAACCTTCCTGACTTGTAACGTCATGCATAAATTTGCTTATTCATCAGTGCATGTTTAATCCTTGCTGTCCCTGCTCACCTAAAGGGAAATCGCTGGACCCGTACAATACCACAATTGTTGTCCACAGTAATGAATAGGATCTCCACAGTAGTCGCTGTTAGAAGTGTAATCTTATTTGTAAAAGCGACATATTCAATTTCCATAATCATAATAGACATCTGCCAGACAACACAGTGTCAATTTCTCGGGAATGAGTCACACGCAAAAGGATATGTCAGGCGTGCTCAAGAGGTCGAGGTCACGCTGCCCTACCTATTCGACAGACAACAAACCAATTCAATAGCAAGGTAACTGTGTAAACACCACCACTTGCGTAAATAGAAATCTAGTCAACACTGGGGTTTAATATCAGTTTATATTGCACACAAACACTGTCAGAAAGTATTGAGGATGTCAAATATATTTCAAAAGTCTAGAACTCAAGAGATGTGTTGACAGACAAACATTCCCAATGCTATTTCATCATATTTGCAATATGTGTAAATACTTCTGTCATGTGCATCACTTTCAAACATTATTACAAACACAGTTGAAGCATGGTCGTTTCTCTTTCTATTCATTTCAGGTCTGTATTAAACTGTAACATACATTCAGGCCTGTATTAGACTGTAACATACATTCAGGTCTGTATTAAACAGTAACATACATTCAGGCCTGTATTAAACTGTAACATACATTCAGGTCTGTATTAAACTGTAACATACATTCAGGCCTGTATGAGACTGTAACATACATTCAGGCCTGTATGAGACTGTAACATACATTCAGGCCTATATTAAACTGTAACATACATTCAGGCCTGTATTAAACTGTTACATACATTCAGGCCTGTATTAGACTGTAACATACAGTCAGGCCTGTATTAAACTGTAACATACATTCAGGCCTGTATTAGACTGTAACATACATTCAGGCCTATATTAAACTGTAACATACATTCAGGCCTGTATTAAACTGTTACATACATTCAGGCCTGTATTAAACTGTAACATACATTAAGGCCTGTATGAGACTGTAACATACAGTCAGGCCTGTATTAGACTGTAACATACATCCAGGCCTGTATGAAACTGTAGCATACATTCAGGCCTGTATTAAACTGTAACATACATTCAGGCCTGTATGAGACTGTAGCATACATTCAGGCCTGTATTAGACTGTAACATTCAATGTATTTATTCCGTTATGTTCAAGCACCATACTGAATTATAGAAATACGTCATATTAT